AGACAGAGTTGACAGGGAGAAGACAGCTCACAGACTTCTATCGCTAGGTATCTTTAAGTACAAAACGAAACTTTATACGTCCAATCAGGCACAGAATCCACCTCATTTAGAGTCCAGGCAACATGGAAGTGGAGCTGAACACTCTGAAAGAATTTCCATTGAAAATAGCTACCATGAATTCAGCTTTACGACAAAGTTGACGAAGCCTAAAAAACTAAAACCTCACAAAATTTTCGCCTTCACAAAAACTTTCCCACCTGAATCATCAGTTCAGTAGAGACTTATCAGCCAAGATACTAAAAAATCTTTCGTCTCATTCATTGAAGAAAACCCTCTCAGCTGAAGTTTAAAGCACTTTCCTCACAGAATTCAATAGTTCATACTAGTATATCTATCCAATCACGAGATCCTGTGAAGCTAAGTATGTTGACCATACCCAGCTTTTGCTGTATAGGGACGTCATCGAACGTCTTCGCCACGGTTTTACATGGACACGGAGAGAACTCACAAACTAACTTCAAAGTCATCTTTCCGCAGTAGGTGGTAATCTTATCAAAGCCGTACGAATTAGATTGCTTCAAATTGCAGAAGTTATGGCAATCCACATGTTTAATGCCAAACCCTGTCTACAGAAGAGATAGGGCTAACCACTGAACAGTGGACGCAGTTTGTCTGGAAATTTCTTCAGTTTCTTCAGCTTTATTATATTTCTCTAATCTCAATAATACGCTCCTACTCCGTTAACTCAGACTTTTCTTCATTTAAGTTGAGCTGTACTCAATCTTATCAGTTGTTTCACGTCACTCGGCTTACTTATTTTAGTCCCTAGCGGATTAAAGTTTTGCCATATTAAGTAACTGTTATTAGAGACTTAAGATTTTATGATGTATCTTTGTAAAGATGCTTTCTGTTTGTAAGAAAACTTATCCTTTTTGTGAGTATTTGTACCGCTGAAAGGAGTCAAGTTTTGCAAGACCCCTTTATTTTTTACATGACAGAATGGGTACTTTTCGGCTGCTCTAATGATTCCATAGCTGATATTCGTCTATGATGACAACCATTTTAAGATGAGTTAGATTGCACTGCCTACTAACTACACAGACTGAACTTGATCTTCTCGAATGTTTCGGTGTCCTGATTCATATATATATCTGTCGAGATACGGCAGTTTGAGATTATCATCCGTCTGTCTCATCGACTGTCCTGGAGAAGCAGACCTTAAGGCTTTAAGAATTACTCACTAATATGAGTGCTTGGGAAACACTCACACTGAGCAGTTGAAGAGAACTGCACACTAAAATACCATGTTCAAGATTAAAGGCAAACCTCAAGCAAAACTGTAGTTGATTCTCACCTCAGACTGTGAGATTCACTAGTAAGGAATTTGATTTTAACTGCCACTAAATTGCATAATTATATCACAAGGTTATAGTACTACAAACGTTATATAAAACTGAGTTCCTACAGCCATAGGTCTTAATCATGAATATGATATCAGCACTTAGCAGAATGAAGCTTCCTTTATGAGATACATTTTTCAGTCCTGATACAAGTATCCTTATTATGCTCCCTAATTTCAAAGTTAGTACCAGATTTTTGGGATAGTTCCTACACGGAATTCATGTGTCAAGTTCATCATCGATTATTAAAGCACAAGAGGCAATACTTGGCTTCCTCACTATTCATTTCGTTTTAAACCATAGTATACTTTAAACCAAATAAAGAGCAGTATGTCCTCATTCTGTACTTCATCAATTTTGTGTTTTCAATGGAAGACAGAGCTTTGATCTATGAATCCTCGGTATCAGAGTCTTTTTCACGGGAAATGATTTGTCAAAATTACGCACAACAATCCCTTTTTACCACTATTACTACCAGCTAATGAATTGATAGCGACTCAAACTGCGACTGTCCATGTTACTGGCATTGAGTCCACCATTAGGTCACTGGCTCGCAATCAGTCGCTGTTGTTACTATTCCCATGGATTCAGAGTGCGTCGGTAGCACAGTGGCTAGGACTCTCGACAACCATGCACATGGTCCGTGGTGCGATCCCCTGCCGACATTCACCTGTTATCTATGGCCGGCCTGCGAAATTCGGGCTGTCGACATCACATGCTAAAAATTCCATGCCTGAACCAAAAATACGTTGTGGAATCACTTGACCTAACGATTACTCATAGTCCCTCATATCCTCCTCATACGATGTCATCTGTGTTACACTCGGACTCCCGAATCCTCGTTTCCCATTCGGTTTCCGGTCAAGGGCCTGCAGCATGATATCATTTAACATTCTCTGCATTAAGTGCCCCAATCATTCTTCATTTTCCTCTATGTATTCGTTGAACAAAAGGTTCTTGACTAGTTCGTCCCAGAGTTTCTTGTTGATAATTTTTTCTCATCATTGGATCTTCCATATGGAGCCAGAGGTGACAGTTGCTGATAAACGTTTGAAGTGGACTGTGGGAAATGCTCTTCGTGAGGCGGACGCCAAGTTTCTGAACCATATAAGACTTCCTGAGTTAACAATTGTGTTGAAAATTCGAACTTTGTTTTTTATGGTGAGTGGTGAGGGTTCTCAAACCGACTTCAGAATAAGAAGGGTGTATTCCACCGTTATGCTACTGATTTCGACATCATAATTTGTGCCTCCAAAGCCTCAGGATGGTCGGTGGTGGGTGTCTTGCGCTGCGGGTTGGTGAATTAAAGTAAATCCCGTCGCCAATTTGTTATAACGGTAGGGAGTTGAATGAAGACGTTTTTACCTTATTCTGTCTGCGCCTGAACTAATCTGTCTATCTGCTCGTCGTACCTTCCGACTTAGTAAAGCACGCAAATATCAAAAGACAAAGGCTGGACTGTGACTGTGTATTGAAGTGCAACAACGATAAAGAAAGCCATGGTATTTATACATTTTACAACAATATGGACAGCTAACAGCATTTGAAATAATTGACCTTAATAGCCAATAACAAAGTGTGTGAGAAATGATAATATGCCATATGTGCGACATTGACAGTCAGTAACAAAATGTGTGGGAATGATAATATACCATATATACAAAATTAGCAGTCACTACCAAAATGCGTGAGAATGATAATATACAAAATTAGCAGTCAATACCAAAATGTGTGAGAATGATAACATACCATATATGCAAGTTTAAACAGTCAATACCAAAATATGTGGGATCCTATCCACTCCTCCGTACACCTCTTGAAATGCTCCCATATGACCGGGCGTCTTACATAGCCTCTCCTGAGGAAGTCCTACTCACTGCCTTCACGTGGCGGAGGTGTTTTTCGCCAAAGTGAGAGGGCATAAGCGGATGCCCGGCGCTCTTCACCGGGTTGACTGTCCATTGGATGACAGTCTAGGGGAGATGGCTAAACCCTGATTCCAAACCTCCAACGACTGGCGTATGAAGCTCACCGGATTTCACCGGGAGACGTATGGACAAAGGGCTTATTGGATGCTCTGGATGACTGGCCCCATTCAAAAAGGCGAATGAACCGGACTCCGGTCACCGGCTGGCTTCCAATGGATAGTGGACTCCCTACTCCACTCCTACTGCCTTGTAGGTCACACTTGGTTGTGTAAAGGCTAGAGCTGCACTCTCAAACAAAGGCCGAGCGATTCTGGGGACATCACTCGTACCCAATTCCTATGAAACTTCATGGTTCATGAAACCGGCTCATCCTCCCGTAGTAGATAGCCGAAGTGAAGTAAAGTAAAGTAAGTAATTTGTGCTGCCTGTAGTTGAAACTATGCTTTCAAAATAAGCAAAGGCAGTGACCTCAAGGAAATTACTCCTGTTGATAGAGATTGCTGCTTGTTGTTGTTATTGGCCAGTTATCTTCATCATTCTTGTTTTCCCTGTGTTCATCTGAAGTCCTTTCGTGTCTGGTTCTTCTCCAACTTTCTAGTTTTCGCCTGTGGGTTTAAATGTTTGTGTTACATTAGACAAATCATCAGCCAAATCCAGATCTTCAAGAGTCTCCTTACTGATTCAGTATATTCTTGCCTTTCTACACCCCAAGCACGGTATACCACATGGTCCACTCTATCATAACTAGAAATACCATCAGTCAGAATAGGCAGTCTTGTCTTATTCCTGTATACACTTCAAAGGCTTCACTGAGATGTTCGTTGTGTATCACTTGATAAGTTGCACTGTCACACAGCAGTTGAATGAAGTTGATAAAGATTTGAGGCATTGCACTCCACAGTGTTAAGGCAGTTTCTGAATCAATAGGCGGTGAACGCTGCCAAATTCGATGAAATTGAGGTAAAGATTTGACTTCTATTCTATTCTGTTTTCGATGATGATGCATAGTGTTGCAATTTGATTTACACATGATTTACCTTTCCTGAATTCAGCTTGTTCTGTTGGGAGTGGAGCTCTGCATCCAGAGCATCTTTTGTTCTCTTTACAACGACATAACTTAGTATTTTCCATGGCATTGACAAGAAAATGATCTTGAGCCAATTCTTGCAGAAGTGTAAGTAGCCTTTCTTTGGTAGTATCACAATGTAGCCATTCTTCCAATATTTGGGTAACTTCCCTTCTATCAAAACGTTTGCAGTTAGGACATGAGCAAATCTGTCACTGTCCCTGGGTCCATTTTCAGTGCTTCAGGAGGGAATTCTGTCCGGTCCTGGCGGCTTTCACTAGCTTGACTAAATTTTAGGTTTCTGCTTTTGTTAGAGAAGTGGTCTTCACTGACAGTTCTGTGCGTGCTGTCTGTGGCATTTCTGGATTTCTGCAGCCAATCAAACAAGCAGTTATACATATTTCTTACAAACAGTAAATATAAGAAAATATTCGAAATAAAATTCTAACCAATTGCTTTTATTTTCTGAAAGAAATGGACTCATTCTCACTACTGTCAAAAACCATTTCTCTCACCATTTCGTTCTCTAACTGCTTCCCATTTCCCTCAGTCTCCTAATATATCTAACGGTCATCGAACACCCGCTATTATTTGTCAATGTACTTTCGAATAGGCATAATATCACTGAATCGTTGACCTAATTAGTTTAAATGATAATCTCTCCAATTTCAATCATAATTCATGCCACTTTATATCTGCGAGAGGTTACATCAATGGTAACATTCATGAAATTAGAAAATTTGACACTTAAACAATAATAAGGATAATAACAGTAGCGGTCTCATCACACATTCAACAGGAATCAAATTACAAGCATTCATAGAAAACGCAGGAGCAGGACAAATCTGAAGACTTTTCGTCTCCTCTTCTTCAGGAAAATAGTGATAATAAAATTGCTTGGCCTTATTCCAAACCCGTAGTACTTATGATACAATGTGGAATTTCCAATATGGGTAAAATTTATTTTGATAAAGTCTCACATAGTGTTGTTATACAGTAATATTTACCGATGACCACATTACGAGCACAATTTGTTGCTGCACCTAATCATCATATCAAGGCATTATTTACACAACTATCTAACTTCGTTTCTATGATTGCATAATATTTTTTTCATTTCTTGATTTGACGATTAGTTGTGGTATCTTCCATATTTGCGCTATTGGTGATGAGTCATTCCTATTGCACGTGTTAGGTGTACACTCGATGAACCAGGATTCAGTATTCAACTTCTCTCTCTCTCTCTCCACCTACCCATATTACTTCTTAGAACTGTAATCCTCTCCCACTATGCTACTGTGTGGTTGTGTGTTAGTGCATGCAGTGCAATTGCTGAGCTTTTTCTATATTACCTATCTTCGTGGGTGGGATCAGCCATTCTAACCTTAGCTAAATTCTTATGTTCTAACAATCTGACTACTGCTGATCTATACTAGTTTGACCTATGTACTTGACCTCACTCACTGTCATTGCAACTTGTTTTGTAAATTGTTATTTTTTTATCGGGTCAACCGGCGTTGTTCTTTTTAGCCAACAGAACTTGTCCTAACTGAGTGAATTTTTAGGTCTGATAGTGTTATGTACTGCTGAGTGGTTAATAGTCCTGACGTGGAAAGAGAAAAATCAGAAGACCACCTCGTCCACGATGATACTTGTATTTTACAAACAAAGAAAATAATGACTGTCACACAAGTGTGAGAGTGAAAGGGTACGTAGTGTACGAAATGTGTGAACAAGTGAGTAAAAGTGTACAATGCAAAAGTTAATATGAAAATGACTAATATACATGAACCAATAAGACAGATGGGCATTTTACCCTACCCTCATTGGATTCTGACTGGCTGTAATGTCATGAGATAAAAAGATCATACATTGTTTATCTAGTTAATAAACAGATAAGGCATATTGTGAATTATAATGAAATATCGATCAATGTACACATACCAAAATATATCAGACTGTAAAAAAACAAAACACATATCTTGTGACTACATATCACCTCCCCTTTTGAGAAGATTGATGATTAATAGCGTGTTTTCTTGGGGGTTTATCTGGAACCGTTGAGTTTGTTGTCGACGTCAGTCGCTTCGTCTGCCTGTTGGGTTTGCGGCTTCTGCTTTGTCCGGAATTGTCTGACATTTTATGCTTCTTGACTGCATTGCATAGAGAATTTAGTGGGACATCAGCCAGGTGCAAACGATCGAACCAATCAAGTCCCAAAAGATTTAAATCACTCTTGGTGACGTAACAAATTCCTGTGAATTTGATATTGCGGAAAGAAACAGAACATTCGAGTTCACCAATTAGTTTGAGCCGCCCACCACAGGCGCTGACAAGAGTCTGAGAAGTGTTTGTGATAGGTGGTCTGCCAATATTATTCCAAAGTTTCTCTGAAATAACTGTAATGTCATAGGCAGTATCGAGCTGCAGTCGAGTATCGTGACCATTCATCTGAAGATCAAGATATTTCCGCATACCTGGTGTTGTGACTTGACAGGTTGCGACTAGACTCATTGATCTTTTCGGAGATTTAGGACCAACAGTTTGTCGAGCTTTCGCTGGATTATGATATCTGGGTTTGCGTGGCTGACAAAAACCATTTTTATGACCGATGATTTTGCACTTGCTGCAACGATGATTTTTGTATGGACAAAGTGCCACGCGCCACAATGCCAGCATGGTGATGGTGGGGTCTTCTTTGCAGTATTTTGTGAAGTTGGACGAGTATGTGTAGATTTCCGCGGAACATTAGGAGAAGGTGGGTCAGGACTGGATGATGGAGAGATTTTTGCTCTTTCGTAATGCATGAATATCAGAGCTTCTCGAAGGTGTTGATTCGACCAGGTGTGTGTCTTTCTGCAAATTAATCAGCCGTTGATATTCATCAGCTATGTCATGTAATGTTAACTTAGGATTTTGCTCTAGCTGATTGAGCAGTCGAGTTCGGATATCTGTGAAACGAGGAGATTGAAGACTGCATATGAGAATCAAGGCTTTGAATTGATCATCTGTTAAGGACCTGAGTCGAAATCTCTCACATTCTCGGTTGACTGTGCCAACGTGAGTAAGAAAATCATCATTTTCATTCATTGTCAGCTTGAGGAAACGATAACGTATGCTGAATAATGAGGAGTGGTCTCCAAAATGTTCACGCAGCAGCTTTATTGTATCATCGAAACACTTGTCACGTGGTTTCTGGGGTAAAATTAGGTTGCAGTACCTCTCATATTCTGCCGGACCCAATTTACGTAATAACACTCGCACCTTCCAAGCATCGTCTTGTGAGGCGAGATCAACTGTGAATAAATCCTCATATCGTTGATACCATGTGTCAAAAGTGACATTAGCATCTGGATCATAATTGAACTGTGTAATACTATTCACAATGCCGTCGACAGATGGTAGCATGGTATGATTGGGATTGCTTGAAGGTGAAGCTGGACCAGTCTGTTGGTTGACGAACATTTCCATTAATTTCATTTGTCGTTCAAATAGTAATTCCAATTTAGAAGAATCCATAGTTCTCCTAGTCGCAAATTTTCTGTTATATACTGCTGAGTGGTTAATAGAAAGCCACTATAATTTCTGCCTTATTCAGAATCTAACGTAGGGTCTCCAATGTCCCTTCCTTATATGCTATAACAGTAGATGACTTATATTCTCCCTTATTTATGCTATCATTGCTAGTTTCACAATTATCTTTATTTTGCTTTTGACCTTTTCTAATCTTCCTAATGAATTTTGTAGGATAGTTAGTTATTTGACACCAACACTTCAACTTTCTGTTTCACTTCATCATTTAGGTCTTTTGGTATACTGCTTAGTACCAGTGCTTGGTTTGTTAGACAGTTAACTAAACAAGATTATGAGCGAACAATTGTGGTTTCGATAACTTCTTCTTCAGGATCTACAGTTATAAATCCATGATTAATAGAGTGCATATATAACCAATAAAGGCAAATGTAAATAATATCAGAAACTGTATTGGGGTGCATGTGTAAGTTGAGGTGGTAGTCCATTAGTTAGCATAGTCAATTAAATGTGTGTAGGGTGTATAGTCAGTCAGGAAAAATGTGATGAAGTGTGAATGAACAATTGGGTGATATAGTGATGTTTTATAGTCAACAGAATACAAGTGTCCTTGGGGTGAGAGAAATGCGATAACCACAAAATACATACAAATACACACCAACTAAGGAGGCACTGAATGTGAGGGATGACCGTAATGTCTAATGATAAAATAAAGGGGCTAAATTGTAAATTGTAATAAAATGCTACAGAATTGGTAGGCTTAGCATAAAATCATTAAGGTTGACAAAGATAACGGTAACAATGAGGTGAAATAAACTGGGTGGATAAATGGATAATAAAGACGTGATATCACAAAATAATAATAATGATAGCAATAGTACGAAAAATTATGAACCAGCTGACCCTATAGTAGGCCAGGGTAGACAAAGAGAGTGAATAAGTTTTTTCTGTACACATAGGTCTGGTCTCTCTCATCCTACTTGGGAATTGCCATGTGAATGTGACTGCATTCCCCGTGAGTGATGTATTTTACATAGATAAAAGAGCAACCAAATCATTAAATAGAGCGATTCTGTCTCATCTAGTGGATAGCCAAGACGGCATCAGAGTAGATGAATCATTTACAATTATGAATAAGGCATTAAGAAGACAAATTTCGCGAGATGATATGATCATTTCGTAGTTTCTTTACAACCGCTTTACAACTAACATGGTTAACAATGATAAAATAAAGTTCATGAAAATTACTCAGTTAAATAAAAACAAAAGTACGTACTAATGACCAATCATATTAAGATAGGTCATGTAGTCCAGGGTAGGCGAAGATTGAAGTCTATTGATTTTTGTATACACAGTCTAGGCTGTATGTGATTAATCCTCCAAAGTGCTTCCATCACCCTCAACAAGCAACCTTGAATTAGAGTTATGTGAAATAATTGTGAAACAGTCATTAATATTGATTGATTTTGTGACCTGATATTAATAAGTGTTTTGCAATGGATGATGCTGGATTTCTACTAAGATTAATCGCGTTAGGATTTTCGACATGATTTACTAGCCATTTTGGAACATGTTCTTTTCGACGACATTGGAACATTCTGTTAGTTCTACCTATATAGGTGTCACCGCAGCTGCAGGTGAAATTGTAGATACAGTTTGAAGTAGAGTCCACAGAATTTCGTCCTTTAATCGTAGGTACAGGGATCGAAAATGTTCGGCAAGTGAGAAAAAGAGATGTGGCGTAGAATGTGCGTTTGATGGCTGACCGAAGTCTTTGAGCTGTCAACTGCATAATCTGGTCGCCCTTGAATTGCTTTCTTTGGTACAGAAGCTGTCTTTTCAAGATGTGGCCTATCCTTACCGTGACAAGTGATGAAGTTTTCTGGATAACCATTGGCTAGTAAAACTGAATGTATATGTCGAAGCTCATCCATCAATGTGTCACTCGTACATATTTTTCGAGCCCTTGAGAACAAACATTTTACCAGGGAACGTTTATACTGGATAGGAGCAAAACTGGTAAAATGAAGATATTGTCCACTCCACGTCTGTTTACGAAAAATATAGTGCTGAATCGTTCCATCATTTCTCCTAGTCATAGTAATATCCAGGAAACCGAGTTTGTTATTGGATTGTAGTTTGGAGGTCACTGGGATATTTGGATGGATATGATTAAATAGGGTGATAAAGTTTTCAATAGATTTGCTATTATTATTAGTAATCTACCATTCAAGGGCGACCAGATTATGCAGTTGACAGCTCAAAGACTTCGGTCAGCCATCAAACGCACATTCTACGCCACATCTCTTTTTCTCACTTGCCGAACATTTTCGATCCCTGTACCTACGATTAAAGGACGAAATTCTGTGGACTCTACTTCAAACTGTATCTACAATTTCACCTGCAGCTGCGGTGACACCTA